GGACAGCTGGGGGAAAAGGGAGGCCCCGTCTCAAAAAAACAAAAAAAAAAAAAAAAAAGCCTCTCTTTTGAATAGTAAAAATATTTTAAAATATTTTAAAAATGATGAATGGAACAAGAATAAAAAGTTGAAATTAAAATAGGAATAGGTTACGTTAACTTTATTCTTATTGCCTCTTTTAAAACAACAGTATACTAAGAACACATATATTTGCCTAAGTAAAACACATTACTCTTTCAAACTCTTCAAAGTGCCTCACAAAAAAATCTCATGTAACTAGAGGTAACAAGAAAGAGAACCAGTACTAATCAGAATTAAACTGCCTCTAGACCAGTTCTTACTTTTAACTTCTCTGTAAATTTTAAATTATTTTCAAATCATTTTGTTAAAAGCCATTTTATTAATAAATACCAGCAATAAACAAAACAAGCTTAGAAAAGAATCTGAGTTTGATTTTGACAGTTGTTCCTCGTGAATCATTTTAATTATACAGGTATTACCCAAAGCATTATTTCTACTTGCAAAAAAAAAAAAAAAAAATTACTCCTTTGGCTAGGCTTACAATAGAGCAAAATAAGCACCTTCGAAGACTCAAAGCTTTACATACTGTCTTTAAGCCTCTACTTCAGTAATGTCCCATAATATAAGCCTTAATAGAGAAACTAGATTTGGAGAAGTTTAATGAAAATCTCTTTCACATGAGGGATTAATCTTGCCTGACTGCTGAATGCAGAACCTGGGGCGGAGAGGAGATGTAGGGTGTGTGGGGGGGGTATAAGTATAATAAAATTTCAAATATCCCACAGAGAATATGTATTTTCAAAAGATTTATTTTTAAATATGTGTATATGTGTATGTCTACATATGACAGTTACAAGCCACCGACCAGGGTGCAAAGTGTGGAATTTGGGTCCTCTGCAAGAACAGTACTCACTCTTAACCACTGAGCCATCTTATAGCCCTGAGAATGTATTTCTTTAAAATGATAACAAAGAACTATATGTAAAAAGTCACTATTTTCAGGAGAAAGTGTTTGTGACTCAAAGGGAACAATTTCTTAAAATATTAAAAAGCACAAAACATCAAAGAAAAGTTATGTTAAATTAGACTTGGACTCACAATTAGCCAATGTATTAGTCACTTTTCTGTTGCTGTGACAGAAACACTGACCCAAGAAATTTAAAGAAGGAAGAGTTTATTTGAGCTTATGGTTCCAGGGGAATTACAGTCCATCACTGCAGGGAGGCATGGTGGCTGGAGGTGGTTGGAACAGGAGCAGCAGAGGCTAAGCTCTCACATCATCACGCAGACACAGGAAGCAAGAGGGCAACTGGAGATCTGGAAAGGCTTAAGAACTCTCTAAACCCACCTCCAGTGACGTGCTTCCTCCAGGATAGCCACACCTTCTAAAACCTCCCAAAACAGAGCCATCATCTGGGGACAAAATGTCCAAATACTTGGAGCCTATGGGGGACATTTTCATTCAAACCACCACAGCCAATAATTCTACAAGTCAGTGAAGGGAAAAAAGACAAACCACACATCTGGAAGAAGATACTGTGTCCAGAGCAAAGCATTTGAATAAAACCCTAAGACAGAAGGATTCCATCTAAAGTATGGGCCAAGATTATGAACAAGCAACTCCAAAAAGAGCTCTCAGCACAGCTGATGGGAGAGCCTCTGGCACAAGCCCAGAGAAGCCAGGAAAATTTAGGAAAAGCTGTGTCATCATAGGGCATTTGAAGAACTGCAAAGCAGGAGGGACACTCCTGACTGACTGCCCCATATTCCTAGGGAGACCCTCCTGCTGATGTTATAGCTGACCAATAAGGTCATTTATGGGGTGCATCAAGTCTAAGAGCATCCATATAGGATGAGTCCAGGGATTCCTGCCCACAGCATTTGTACTTTTATGTCAGATTACATCATAATGAGAAAACCACCCCACAAACAGTCTTCCAAGTCCCGGGGCCCTGGACATTACTTTCCACCTGCAACTGACACTAGATCAAAGTTCTTGCTCTAACTCAAGATACTAACTCTATCCAGCAGTATCTAAGACATTAACATAACTACATCAACACACACACACACACACACACACACACACGCACACACACGCACGCATATTTACTCTCACTTTTGGTAGTATACTACGAGTTTTCAGTGAGTTCCGGGCCACCCTGAACTATGGAGTGAGACTATCACCTCCCACCCTCTAACACACACACACACACACACACAGGTTGGGTTTGATGGCTCATGCCTGTAATCAAAGCACTGTAGAGGCAGGAGGATCAGTAATTCAAGGCCAGCCTCAGTTACAAAGCAAGCTCAAGGTCAACCCGGGCTACATGAGACCATGTCTCAACACAAATTAACATAAAAAAACAGCCTTGTCTTCTGTCAGCAAGAAGGGGTTGCATCTCAGTCCAGGGTTAGGACAAAGGGTTCCAAAATACACAAAACATAACATATTTTAGGCACAATAAAGTATGTTATCGCTAAAACTACTTAATTAAGAATATAAAAATGCAGAAATACTGCCGCATGGTCGTCTACTTAAAACAGCATGAAATCCTCCAATGGCTTTCCTCACTGCAAAAATCCCTGACAACACGCTGGGTATGGTGGCGTGGGCCTTTGAGGCCACCCTGTTTCACATCATGGTTTCTAGGTGGGCTGTGACTAGGGAGACCCTGTCAAAAAACAAAGAAAAAAAAAAAACTCCTGACGACAGAGATTCCCCAGGCCCAGTGAGTAACCACCAGGAGATGGAGGTGGGCAGGGGAGGAGTGTAAGGCACATGCACATGGAGATTAAGGTTCCTTCAGATCATACTTAGCATTTAAAATGCACCTTTGTGAATTTATAGATAAAAATTAAATGAAGACCATTCTCTGTACTCTTGAAAATGTCCACTTCCCTAAAAATTTAAACAAAAGAAATAGAATGATTAAAAGACATGTATAAGTAAGTCTGAGAAAGGCAAGCAGGGTCAAGAACACTGTTCCTTCACTCAAGTAATTGAGAAAAAGACCTAACTTTACATTAGAAAGTACATTATTTGGGGGGGGTGGTTAGCAATTCCTCTGCTCTTCACAACCACGAATGGTTTATCAGTCTAAACATGACACAACTTAAACAATTTGTTTCATGATACTGTTACTGGATCCTGCAATTATAGGCAAGAGGCATATATGTGCTAATAAAATAGAAAGCCCAAACTTAACTCATGTCTATCTTCTTATTAGAGAGAAAATATCTACAAGTAGACTTCCTTTAAGGCTCCATGTATTAAAATAACTCACAAACTACCTACCACCTAGTGTGAAAGGAACAACTTTGTTTTATATACTTACCAACGAAAAAACAACTACTTATTTTTGGTGCTCGGAACAGTAAGGTCTCAGGAATGCTAAGAACAAGCTGAACCACTGAGCTTCAACCCTAAGTACCAAATGCAAAGCCAAAAGCTAGTGGCTTTTTCTCATCACTAACCATTTTAGAAATTCAAAACATGTAAATTTCAGATCTGTGTAGGTCATCTTGACCAGAAAAGAATGCTCAGACTTTTGGAGACAGGAGATAGGAAAGATCTTAGACTCTTGCAGAAAGTCTTGTAAAATCAGCAGAAACCTAGAGGATTTTCAGGGTATCATGAAAATGTTACTATAAATCATGTTTTTTTTTAAAGGCCCTAATTTTCATTATTTATTAACAAGATGTCCTGACAAAAGTGTAGAAGGCGTACTCTAAAGACCAGAATCCAAGGTGATAAGAATTTAAAAAAAAAAGAAAGCTACGAATGTGTACTAACTTATTTTAATTTTAACCCTGAAAAGGAAAATATTGCTAGTTTCCTACAAGTGAATCAGAACTCTAATGACAAAACTGACTTTTTCCCATAGTAAAGAATTCTGTTCTTACCTCATAAGACCAGACACACTGCACGCCTGCAAACCTCCGGACACATCTTCCCACCTCCACATCTTCATGGGTGGTATACATTTCCCGGAGACACTTGCCAATGTGTGGTACCATTCTCCGAAGCACCTCCCGGCTCATGATCACACCAGGCCCACCCATGCAGAAGTTCTCACCAGGCTCGAGGGCCAGTTTTCCCATTTCTTCTGTGGTGCCCAGTCCTGTCTGTCCGAGAAAGAGGGGCTCGCTGCTATTCAAACTTCTCAAGAAACTCTCCAGACGATCTCCTTTGATGTAAACATCATCATCTGCTCTCATAAACCATTCGTATCTGTCCAAGTAGTGGTCATGCATGTACTTGAGCATCATAAAAGACTTCTTTTGGGGTGGATAGGAGTCATCAACACCCCGTAGTGGCACCACTGGAATGGGTATAGATGTGTCTGAACCCTCACTAGAGAAGAACTCAACTTTCCCAGGAATTGTCTTGGACCATGTTCTGGAATTAAAACAAATAACAATTAGAGAACAGGTCATCCCACTTATTTTCAGGATTGCACTTACCTGCTTATTTTGTAGCACTATGTGTGACTGCTTCATATATTTGATCTGCTTGCTTCACATTAAGGGAAGCCCCTCCTTCTGAGGATTACAAAGCCCAAATTCATTTTCAAAAGAACTTCAACAAAAAGGAAAGATTAAGTCTTAAAACAGTTCCTGATTCACTAAATTTTAGTTTTGGCTGAAAACCAAATTTCCAAGGCACCAAAATGTGGATAGCCAGGTCAATTTTTGGATTCTGTCAACTCCTACTGACAAACTCCTCAGCTCTAAGGCTGAGGAGATGGCTTAGCAGGTAAAGTCACAACTGCCAAATCTGACAACTAACCTGAGTTCGCTCACCAGAGCCCAAATAGTAGAAAGAGAGACTCCTTCAAGTTGTCCTCTGACCTCCACATGTGTGCTGTGGCCTGTGCATGCCCACACAAATACACAAACACGCAGACACAAACATACAGACACAGACACACTCAAAAATAAGTAAATAAAATGGTATCTTTAATTAAAAAAACAAAAAAATCCAATTGTCCATTCCACCAATTTTCTTGGAAAGCTCATTAAGTGTCAAGTACTTGCTGAGCAAGAAGGATGCAATGGTGAACTAAAACAGTCTAGAGTCACAGAGCTGACGTCATAAGAGACAGGCACTGGCAGGATGGTATGCTCGCATAGGTTACCATCATGCACAAAGTAGAAGATCTGAAAGATAGTTGCACACAGGCAAAGAGGGTCCCAGGAGAGAATATTCCCCTGAGGCAAGCTGAGCACTAAGGATGACAAGCCAAACCCAGGTGCAGAGCTTGAAAGCTCTGCAGGATCAGGGGTGGAGCCCACCTGAGATGTGGTCCTCTATGCTACAAAAGCCCTGGGAAGAAGAGAGCCTCAGCATAAGGAGAGAAGGAATGTGCATTCTAAATTCCCCAGGGGAGGAGTACAGGGTTGAACAAAGTCAGATCAGGTCTGAGTTTAAAATGAGCTGGTTTACCCCTGGACAGAGGAAAGATCAGTGACCAATTAAACAACTAATTTAAGGCAAGGCTATCATACTTCCCTTTATGCTACTGTTAAGAACTTAAGTAATTTAGCTACAACAATTCATTTACATATACCACTTCTAAGAAAAATATGATTGATAACAAATAACATACAGGTTGAATATCTGTTATCTGAAGTTTATTCAGATTTTGGACTACGTGTATAGACTTTATCAAACATACCTAGTCCAAAAATCCAAATGCTCTGAAATCTGTCACTGGCAGAACTAAGCACTATACCTAGAAAGTTTCATATTTCAGAGCATTTCAGATTTCTACATGCTTGATTTGTAATAAATTTAATCTTAAGAAAAGTCGAGTGCTGGAGAGATGCAGCCCCAATGCTTAGGAGGCTAAGTCAGAAGGACAGCAGGGTGGAGGCGAGTCTGGGTTACTGAGAGAAACTGTCTCAAAACAAACAAAAAAGATACTGCAAATCTTTGGGGAAAGGGTACAAAAGTAGGGAAATTGGAATTGGGAGAGCACAGCTAGACATGACTTTCACTCTTCACATATCTCTATACTCAGGGCAAATTTTGGAAGTATCACATTACTTATCTTTAGGAAAAATTAAATTGTAATAAAACATATGTCAATGCCGGGTGTGGTGGCACACACCTTTAATTCCAGCACTTGGGTGGCAGCGGCTGTCTCTGTGAATTCAAGGCCAGCCTGGTCTACACATAGAGTTCCAGGCCAGCTGGAGCTACAGGGAGACCTTGTTTCAAAAAGATCAAAAAAAATTTTTTAAATAGAATTTATCATTTTAGCCATTTCTAAATGCATAGTTGGTAGTATTAAGCATACTCATAACACTGTACAACTATCACCACCATCCAGCTCCAGAATATTTTTCAGGTTATAGATCCTAAAATTATTTTTATAACTTTAAAAAGAATTTAAAAGAACTACTTTGGAAACAAATGACTACTTTTCATTTGCCTTCCTAATCAAAACATAAGGAACAGAATGTGGGGCGTGGTTGAGCATACTTTTAATCCCAGCACTTAGTAAGCAAAAGCAGGCAGATCTCTGGCCATTTTCTCTCTCTCTTTCTCTCTCTCTCTCTCTCTCTCTCTCTCTCTCTCTATATATATATATATAATACAAAACAACACTCAAGCAGAGAAAAAAATCCACTTGGATTAAACTCTCTATCAAATTCTTCTCAAAAAGTCCAAATATTAAACATATACTTTTTTGGTCAAAGCAAGATTTTGTTTTATCATAGTTTCATCTACTAACAAAGAGAAACACACTGCTAATTAGCAGCCTATCGCGTCAGCAACTAGAAACTGCATCCTAACTTTAGAGATGTTAAAATCTGAAAAAGCACATCTTACAGTGGAAGCAGCACTGCAGTTGTTAATGTTTTTCTTTGATGACTATGGATTTTAAATGGACCTATATATTCTATGCCACTTGACTCTTTAAGAAAGAGCCAAGAGGGACTGGAAAGGTGGCTCAGTGACTAAGAGCACTTGTCTGGGTTCAGATCCCAGCACCCACAGAGTAGCTCACAACCACCTGTTAACTCCAATTTCAGGGGATATGACACCCTCTTCTAGTCCTGTGGGCATCAAGCACACATATGATGCACATACATACATACAGGTAAAACATTCATATAAATAAGATGAAAAAAAATAAAAATCTAGAAAAGAAAAAGAATCAAGAAACAAGTTTGATACATATGGAGTTTTATGACATCACAGATTCTATGCCAGATACATTTCATTTTCACAAAGGATGTACTCATTTAGAAAAAATAGGGGGCTGTGGTTAAGTACATTTGCTAATCTTGCAGAGGACCAGGGTTTGGTTCCTAGCATTCACACAGAGCAGCTCACAATCACTTCTAACTCCAGTTCCAAGGAATTCAACACTTTCTCTTCTGGCCTCTGAGGGCACCAGTGTGCATGTGATACACATATGGACATGGAAGTACTCAGACATCCATATACAATAAACCTTTACAAAAATAATGGTTATGTTAATAATGGTGACAGAGGTAGGAAAGATCACCTGAGCCCATGAGTTTGAGACCAGCCTGGGAAACAAGGTGAGATTCCTTTAAAAATACAAAGCAAAAAGGTAAAGTTAATACAGAAGAAATGAACAGTTAAGGTAAAGAGAAGTCAACCCTCCCAAAAAGGGAGAAGTCCTTCGGCAAATGACTGCAACGTCCCCATAATGTATGACAGTCTCTAGTTATTCTAATGTGGTCATTAGCTTCAGCTGTCAACCTCACACAATCTAGAGTAACCTGAGAAGAAGAAACCTTAATTGAAGAACTTCCTCCATCAGTTTGGCCTGTGGGCATGTCTGTGGGCATTTTTTTTTAAATAAATTTTATTTTTATTTTTATGTGTATACGCCTGTGTGTGCCCATGGAGGGCATAAGAGGGCATCAGATCCTCCTAGAAATGGAGTTAGGTGGTTGTTAGCCACTATGTGGGTGCTGGAATTCAAACCTGAGTTTTCTGCAAGAACATCAGTGCCCTCAACCAATGAGTCCTCTCTACGGCCCTATGGGGCATTTTCTTGACTGCTAGTTCATGTAGAAGGGCCCAGTCCACTGTGAGCAGTACCAACCCTAGATAGATCAGCCTGGGCTATAAGAAGAAAGGTAGATGAATATGAATTTGGGAGCAGGACAGTAAACAGTGTTTCTCCATGGTTTCTGCTTAAACTCCTGCCTTGAGTTCTTGCTTTGGTTTTCTTCATGATGGACTGTAACCTGCAAGTCAAATAAACCCTTTCCTCCCAACAAGTTTCTTCTGGTGTTTTACCACAGCAGGACAGAAACCAAACTAGGATAGGTCACATCTGTAGAAGAGACCCTCTCCCAGAACTTGACTGACCACAGGAGCCAGTGTACTGACCATTTAAGTCAAGGAGCCCCTGATTCTGTTCTCCTTATGCAGTAATATTTGGGCTGGGTGTGTGTATGTTCCTTTGGGGCACAATAATTCTTTGAAAATGTAAATAATCTCAGTGCTTGGCACATAAAAGATCAAAGAACACGTGGAATGAATAGTGCCCACTCCTATGCAATAAGTGACTAACAGATAGATGCCATGTGCTGTGTTTCCAAAAGAGCAAAAATCATTTCCAGATGAGATTTGCATAACTGTCCATCAGCCTAGCCACTCTACAATTTCTACATGAAGAAAACTGGTTTACTGAAAGAACAAGAAAACAATTATCCAGAGGGAAAATTCACAGGTTCAATGGTATTGATATGCACTACCATTCATGGTGCTTCTGAAATGTAATTCAAAGCTAAATAGTATGCAGCATCTTATGATTGAATTTAAAAGGATGATGAAAACAACTTAACCTTAGCTTATTAGTATTAATAAGCTATTGTGTATATGAACTAAAATGTGCATACTAACACAGATCAAGTTCAAAATAATACCGGAGAGTCAACCCCAAATGCCAAGAGAGTATCACTGGGGAGACAAAACAGCTAAGGCAATTCCTACCTTCAAAGAACAACCTATTAAAGAGGCAATCCACAATGCCTGGGCTCTGGAACTCACTGCTGGGATGAGAATCCTGACTCTACTTTGGGCAAGTTATTCTGGGCCTCAGTTTCCTTACATGAAAGCTGGAGATAACAGTAATAGTATCTGCTTTATAGGCTGACTGAGAGGGTTAAAAGAGTTATTACATGCAAAGTGGTTAGAAACCTGCCTAGCACTACATCAGTGTTATTATCAGAGAGATCAGGAAATTTGCAAATAAAATAAGGTAGTTAAAGGGAGACAATAAAAAGTGTGAGTTCAATGTGGACTAGAAAGTTTTAAGACTGTGCACCATAGTGAAACTAATTTGGGACACTCTTCAGAAAATGTGGGCATCTAATGAAAGTTTAAATTTTAAAAGTGTTTTTTGC